TAAAAATACCGAACCAACTGTTATCTAGCCATAAAACGCCATTCGAATCTCCGGTTGTCAGGCCGAGACAGCTACGGTCATATGCTTGTAAGCGGCGTTGAAGAAAAGGGTGCTGGAAACTTACCGATCAGCTGAGTAAGTAATGGAGTAGGGGTGTTTGTCCTTTTCCCACGGTTCCATCGCCACTGACTCGTCACCTGAGACGCGCGCATCAAAATAGGCGGTGGCACCACCACCATCCCCCGAAAAGACAGTTTGACCAATCGCCGTGGGGCCTGTGGCCGGGCGTCTCGAGCGGACAAACTCAGCACGAGAGTAGCCCTCGCCAAAGCTGGAGTCAGTGTACACCTCCCAGTGCTTGAAGTCTGAATCTGTGAGTTGGGGAAACCGCACAATGTAGCGCGTCTGTCCATGCACGGTTGGCTGCATCGGAGAAGACAAAACAAGACACGGCAAGCGTTAGAACAGAAACAGCGCATGTAAAACACGTCAACTTATACAAGCATGCACACTGATCATACGACTGGGTGGTTGGTCCGTCGCAAGTGATAATGTCTACTTTGAGAGAGAGACGCTTTATTTTTTAAATATCATTCCAAAATTTTCAGCAGAAAACGTCCTCCATTCAAAAGGAATAAAACTAGGCGCACAAACTCACAACACCGGGAAATCAAAAGCAATCCATAATCGGCAATGACTGCCATTTTTGACATCGTGGATAAACGTCTTTGGAAAATTCGTCAATTGTAAACCAAATTGGACTACTTTCAAAACGGCACCAGCGTCATGACCTCATTGTAGTTCAAATCAACAATGAGGGATAAGAATCGGTTTATAATGGGCGAAGGAGGTCAACCGACGTATATATAAGAGAATGTACGTGCGAATGGAGGGAAGGAATGGAGGTAGCTCTATTTGAAATCCCCCCCGCGACCAGTAAATGAACTTCCTTCGCAGAGCGCGTTCCGTTGGCAACACCGGACCAGGTGGACTGGGGATGGGCACGGACGTAGTGAAAGATTTGGCTAGACAGGTGTTTGGTTAGGTATCCCGGTTAGGTTATAAGCTCCCTTAACGGGCCGCGTGCTAGATGTGCTGACAGGGACCATTTCAGGATACGGCAGGCGTTATTCGGGTTGCGCTCCCATAACAAATGCCAATCATGGGGGGAGGGGGTGGTGGCACGCGTAGAGGGCGGCTTCGGCCGCGCCAGCCGCCTGCACCCGGTCTTCATGACTGTGTCTTGACACAGGGCTCAGGTGGGTGAGAGAAGAGAGAGTTCGGTAGATACCGCACAAGTCTACTATCAATTTAATCTAACTCACGCGCAAGTAACCTACTCTGCAGAACTCTGCTGTGGAGCATACGTTAGACATCGTCGAATCCGACGGTCGAACTGTCGGTTAGGTTACGGGAACAAATGCGGCCTTCCTCAATAGAGACAGACTCTGCGTATTTCACTCAAGGATCATGCTTCAGCAGCTGTTGTTGGAAACTTAAAATGGCTAATCGCCTTGTCTTCGAACAACACCACATTCGAAAAAACTCCACAGGATCAGACGGACGGAGAGTACGCAGATGTTGCGACGGCTCCCAAGATGTCTCCTGTGGCCTGCAGAAACCCCAGCAAGTGGCAACCACTGAGGCGCTAGTGTTGGCTTAACCCCCTCCAGCTCGCAATAACACGTCCCCGAGTTATATGAAACTGGGAAGGAGGGGATAGCGAAAAAGACGAGGAAGAATGGGCTGACCATTTTTGACTTATAAGGCGTCTTCAGAAAGTCATATCCAGGCACCAGTTTTAGCCGAAAAACAACATGATAACGGCTCCCCACTTCTACCTTACTCACTGATCTAACCCCCTGCAACCTTTTCTTATTAACAAGAATAAAGAAAACTCTTAACAGAAGGCGTCTTCAGAACGCAGGAGAGGCTAAGGAAACAAATCACTGAAGTCACCTAGCAGCATTAGTTCAGAAGAAGATAAACATGTTTAGAACAGCGGAAAAACCGTTGGCACAAGAGCAAATAGTCTAATGCGTACGTTCTCAAGTAAGTAGTTCTTTTATGAAATTAGTATCGAGTTGAAAGTAATGCAAGTACAATAGATTGCTTAATTCATTAAATGTGCAGATCTACCTTTAAGAGGATTGGGACACACATATGAGTTTGTTATTTTGCTAAGTGAACTGATTTCAGGCGCAAAAAGGTGTTTACTAAAAATAGATTTCAGTTCAAACCAGTATATTGAACGGAAAATATGGACAGAAATGGGCGAAACCCTACAGTTTTTGATAGCCAAAGAATATCCTACGAAAATAAATGTTGCGGATGAAAACTTCTTGTTTGTGCGTGTTGTACTATATAGAAAACCATTAATATAAGCCATAAGATTTTAAACTAAAGCCTTTAGAGAACGGAAAAATTTGTTTTGCGCCAATGAAAATCAGGTTAATGCAACTATGAGAAATCGCATTGTTTTCAGATAAAGACTAGCAGATAGTATATTTTACACGCTATCTCATGAAATGTCAACTAAAAAAGCGGAAACAGGTTTTCAGTTCGAAAAAGCTACTCAAAAAAAGTTTGAGATTGGATACCGTGCTGTGGAGTCCCAAGCCATTACAGGCACGTCAGAATGCCGGATTTTGAATAAGTATCTTGCCGACCAGGTGAAGAACTACATTCCGTAAAAAATGACAACTTAAGTAGTAGGATTTCTTCTCATCGATGGCCGATGCCCTTAGAAATTCAAATATATATATATATATATATATAT